AAATGAAAATAATTTTTTTATTAGTGTAAAATGATAGAGAAATGAAAAATGACTTTTTCATTTTTTGTTTTCGTTTTTTCATCTCTCGAGCAGAGAGAGAGAGAGACATTAATGGATTTTTTTACACTAACATAATCTCTTGATAAAATTACCAAACGCATTTTTAAAAATGATTTCTGTCTACGATTGAAAACGTTTTCATTTTCATTTTCATATAAAAAATAAAATCATTTTAAAATGAGTTCTAAACGTGCCCGTTGTTTTTTTCTACATCTTTCAACGAAAAGTCTAACAAACAAACTATCTTATTGCATTTAGCCATATTTTTATGTCTATTTTTTTACTAAATTGTGACAGAGAGGGTTAACCGATGACAAACTTTAAGTTTAGGACGTAAAGGGACATATTCTAAAGTTCAGTAGACAATATAAGGGTGACTTTATAGTTCAGGGGGTATTTGTGAGAATAACTCATAAAATAATTATAATTACAAGAAAGATGTAAAAGGATTTTTTTTTTTCAATTGTAGTAAATAGAAAATTTATGAAACTAATTTAAGTAAATAGAAGATGTTAAAACTATTTGAAGTAAATAGTAATGTATCGTATAAATTTTTCATTTATGACTGAAAAAAATAATTTACATGATAAAAAATCTTTATTTACTTAGAAAAAAAATCTTTTTTTAGTCATAAAAAGAGAATTTACGGGGAAAAAATCTTTTTAAAAATTGTAAATACAACATTTACATAGTAAACTGCTATTTATCTCAAATAATTTTAAAATCTTTTCAATTATTTACTATAAATTTTCACTTCATCCTTTATGCGAATCCATCGAATGAGGGCTTTTAAGTTTTTCCATTTTTTATGTATTTCAAATAAGGAGTTATGGAGGTTTGTCAACCTTCATTTACTTCCTGCCTCAAACAGGCAGCTTTCACCTCATTGGATTATATATTTCCAATGTCTCTATTATGGTGTTAACCTTTTCATACCATTTAACTTTACAGATAAGTCATTCTTTCTTACATTTTAATATTAATTTTGATTTTTACTTTTATTCCCTTATTTATAATCTTAATTTTTTTCAGGTTCAATTTGATCCTTGGTCTTTATCATGTTTTATTTTTTCTTCCAAACAGTTTGATAAATTTTATGTGTTGTTTTTCAACATCACATGATTTATTCTTATATGTTTTTGGATAAAGCAATTTCTTTCCACCATATCTATTTTAGATACTTCTGTTTGCTAAAAAAACAAAAAAAAAAACAAAAAAAGAATCCATTGGGCGAGGGGTGTTGTGTTGGGCCAACAAGCAAAGGCCCTCAGTCAGTCCATGTGTAAATTATATTGGTCCATAAAGGTGCTACTTTTTTTGTCTCTTCAAAGGTGATTTTATTTGCCCTACGGATGTAAGAACAATAACTTAAAAAAAAAATTATCTTAATCTCAAATGCAGAAATTTCACCACGAGAAAATAGAATATATACCATAATATATATATATACATATATTTATGTATATTACTCAGAGAGAATACCATTTATTTATAAATGGTAAGATCTTACTGAATGTGTGTTCGATCATGTATTGTATAAAAAAAAATTCAAAATCTATCAGTTTTTGCGAATTGAATTCACGGATTTCATTCTTTAAACTTAATAAATATAACAAACATCCGAAAAAAAACAAACAACCAAATATAGTCTTTTATCATTTATTAATATTACTTTAAAGTTCAAACGAGAACATGTGGACAACGACAATTAGATGATTTTCACTTTCAAAAAGACAATATCCTTAGCAACACGATGTGGAGAACGACAGTAAATAAAAAAAACAACAAAACATTAAGGGAACGTTTGTTTTCTGTATTCGTCCCTGATTTTGAATTATGATTCATGATTTTTTATAGTGTTTTTCTCTCACAAAAACACACGTAAAATGAGAATGATTCTGAATCTATGAACTAAATGTTTATTAAGAATGTGATAAGGAACAATAAAAACGACAATTAGAAGTAATACGACGAGAAACGACATATTCCATGACAAACGATAATATAGATTTTAGAACAATAACAACAAGAAATACAAAACAAAGATACAATTAATCGAGTCACCGAGAAAAACCACACCTCGTGGAACAAAAATTAAATTTTAAAAACAACAAGAACTAGAGTTTAAAAAACAATTCCTCAAACCAATTCCACTGCTCTGATTAATATGGGTTGTTTAGTTGGAGGGTTGTGGATCGAGGGTTTGAACTCAAAATGTACATAACATTTTGAATTTGAATTTGGGTTTAGGATTCATTTAAATCTAAAATTGAAGGTTGAACTCAACTTTACCCCTCTAAAGTTCTTAAGGTTCTAACCTAATTTACTATTTAAAACTCAATTTAAAAGTTCTCACCAATTATTTTCACTCACATTTTTTAAAACCCCATTGTTCTAATAATGTAACCAAACATTTGTTTAAATTTTATTTCTTGTTTAGACCTTAAACTAACAAATGTCGATTTGAACCACAAAAAACCTACATATAGATTTAAACTCAAAAGTTAGTTTAAACTCACACAATTTAAACCGGTGACGCGGAAGGAGCCTAAGACTTTAACATTAAAAATTTCGTAATTTAATTATTAATATCTATTTGCTCCAGTTATCTATTTTAATAGAAAGTTATTCGTGAGTCGTATATTTGTCGCACCTAATTAACAATATCTTATATCTCTTAACTATAGTAAAAAGCACATAACACATAATAGTTTGGAGTAATTCCAGGAAACTTATCATAAAATTCACATAACACATACGCATGAGATCATGACTATATATACACCATTTGCTTTAAACCAAGCCAATCAAAACAATACATAATTAGTACAAATACAGCAAAACAGAGTTAATTAACAATTCATTAAAAGAAAAAAAAAACAAATAAACAACCAGGCAAAACAACAAAGATAAATGAGTAAAACTCCAATACATAATTAAGGTTCCTAATGCTTCTAAATCGGGTTCTTAATTACTAAAAAATGAAGAGGAAACTCCAACAAAAAGAGATTCAAACTTGGTAGATTAGCAAAGCAAAGAGATTCAAGTTGAGATCTCTTTCCCCGTATAGCTATCAGACAAAAAGAAAAGGATTCTTAGAGCACGTTTGGAACTTATTCTAAAATGATTTTATTTTTTCTATGAAAATGAAATATGAAAACGTTTTCAATCTCAGACAAAAATTATTTTTGAAAATGCGTTTAGTAGTTTTATCTATAAATTATTTTCAGTATAAAAAAACTCATTAATATATATCTCTCTCTATGTGCTCGAGAGAGGAGAAAACGAAAATGAAAAATGAAAAATGACTAAAAATCGTTTTTCATTTCTCTCTCATTTTACACTAAATCAAAAAATCGTTTTCATTTTTATTTTTTGTCTTTATTGCGCCAAACGCCGTTTTGAAAACGTTTTTATTTTTTTTTCTCAAAAAACGTGAAAAATAAAAACAGGATCACTTCCAAACACGGCCTTAAATTCGGTAGCTTTTCTACTGTTCTCATTGGGGTCATCCTTAAGACTAGAGTTTCTTAACGAAAACACTTGATAACGTTAGGGGAAAGCTCGTAGTCTTCTGGTAACTTCTTTACTATTTCCAAGTTCATGAGTTTAAGCTTATAAATTTGAGGATAGTATGATATTAGTTAGCTGCAAAAAAAATCATTTACATTGAGGTGCTCTTTTCCAACATTGTACAAAGTTTGTAAATTGCTGGGATTACTTAACTGCAAATGTTCACCAATGAAGTAAAAATCGCTTGGCAAGTATAAAATGTCGCAACTTCTCAAGCCTCCAAATTACACTTTGGTACCTCAATATTTCCAAAAGATGTCCTTAAATCTAAAGTCAGCAGGCAGGCATCTCAAATTGCCAATAGCTAGTACGAAAACTTAATAACCGTAAGTGGATAAGATTTCCAATTTCTTTAGGCAACTACCATGAAGTTCCAAGAGTCTCGGAATAGTTTCCAAGTCTCAAAACTCGTGTGCGTTTAGAGTAAGGATCCGTGTCATGGTTCGGATCATGGTTCATGGCTCGCTACAGTATTTTCTCTCACAAAAAATACATGTAAACCGAGAATAATTCTGAATCATAGTTATGAATCTATGAACCAAACGTCTTCGTCTGAACGTAATTGAACCGAGGTTCCAGTATTTTTGAAGTAGCCATAGAGTTCTGATCTGATTTATAACTATGAGAGACCTAAGAGAGCCATTTCCATTATTAAAAGAGGGAAGAAAATCACTGAAATAATGATTCCTCATAGATGGCAAGTCTTCGTACCTTGTTTTTTGGCCCTACTATTGTTTCTGCAGCAGAGGACATAGAATTTGCTACTACATTGTCTTTATTCCTCAAATCAGCAAATTGCATAAAGTTTTCCTCTTGAGCCTCTTCCAAGCTCAGATCCCGCATGAGATCATGAATGCGGTACGGGGGATGTTTGTTTCTTGTATTCGTCTTTGATTCTGAATCATAATTCATGATTTTCTACACGTAAAATGAGAATGGTTCTGAATTATGGTTTTAAATCTATGAATCACACACTCACTTAATTCTTCCAGTTGAATCCAATGTTCCTACTTGAATCATGTTTCTTTCTATTAACTCACTCAAGTAATCATATTCTACATCCTCGGCAATTATTGTTGAACTCTGTGTTTGTTGATCTAATGATCATATGAAACCTCCTGCTATCCAGGAATAACACAATTTTTTGACCTTTATCTCATGATCTTCAGGGAAATGAGCCAAGTGCAAAAAACATGGCTTTAAGTGATATGGCATTCGAATTGATCATGTGATTAGCTGTCAGCATTCGAACTGTACATGTGGGCTTCACTAGTACTTCATTTTTAACTCGTAATAAAAACAAGATTGCTATTAATATGTTAAAACACCGTACCTACATATATTTATATAAATATATATGGGGTAAATATTGGGCAAAAAGTCAAATCGATCACTAAAATTGGGAACATATCACGTAGAAAATTTGAGTTACACCTTGATTTTTTGTTTTTTTGTGTTTTATTTTCACGGTGTAATTTAGAAGGATAGATGGTGATGGTCATGATGAGCAGCGGCAGCAGAGGTGGAAGCAGCTGCGGCGGGCGTGGTGACGGCGTTGCGTTCGGCGTGGCAGAGCTGGCGGAGCTTGGTGGGGACGTACCAAATGGAGAGGCGGGGGTGGGCATTGAAGATGGAGTCGATGTCCCAGGCGGCCTGGCGGGCAGCGATGGCGACGAGGGGGTTGTAGCAGGCCTGCCTCCCGGCCCCGACATTCTCCCCGCCCTCCTTGTAGGCCCGCCGCCCGCCGCGCTCCTTGTAGGCCCGCCGCAGGGCGTTGGAGCCCTCCTCGTCCAGGCAGTGCAGGGCGTAGCAGTGCACGTAGTGCCGCATCTTCGGCTTATTTATGTGGCTCGCCCCTGCCTTCTTTGCGAACCTAAACACTTCGTTTGTCACCTGCATGGATGCATGCATGCAAATTCAACTTCTTTTACCAATATTCTATATAAATGTAATATTAATTGGACACTAAATATGCCATAGAATTATTCTCGTTAATTTTTTTTTGGATAATAAGTAATTTTACCAATGAAAAAGTTGCGTTAGCCAATATTCCAGATATATAATATTTGTCAGGAACATTATCGTTTAGAAAAGTTCATGATCGCAAATATTTTTCCCTCTCTTTTTGGTACCCTAAAATTTAGAGTAATGAGTCATTGCATTAATCTATACCTTCTCCACGCCCATAATTATCCTCTGCTATTGTTTGGAAAACTAAAAATGTCTTGGAGCTCAATTGAGTTGTGGCAATATGTGATGCAATCATGCAAATGTTAGAGCAAAATGTGTGTGTATCTGTACTGATGCAAACGATTTTTTTTTTAATATATATATGATATTGATGAGATGAAAATTAATTGACGCAAAATTTGAGCAGAAAGATCTTCAATATATATATATATATATTGTGTATGTGTGTATCTCGGTTTTTAAAACAAACAAACCTCTAACACCGTGCAACTTACTAATTAGTGGAGGAAATTGTAAGGAAATATTTAATTCACTGATTTAAATTTAAATGTAATTTTATATAATAATTTTTTATTATAATAAAAAAATTAAATGTGATTATTTTTAAAAAAATTTTACTCTACCAAACCTTAAATATATAAGTTGGTTTTACTCTCCTGGCACGTGGCCAGATCTCAAGTTGGCACATGTGTAAAACTACTCAATCGTGACATGACCCAAAACAAAGTGACTAAAGTTAAGCTGGCGATATTCTAAACACCATCAAACTACTTAGGAAAGCAACATATCTATCATCATCTTTAAAATAAAATTAAAAAAAAATAAAAAAATAAAAAACATAGGAATCTGTCGAGGGCATCACAGACTGTAAAAAAAGAGAAAAAGGACTTCTGAAGTGTTGACAAGAGTAGCTAGCTAATAGGCCACTGCCACACGTACCAGCCCTAGCTTATTAGCTTAAGTCGTACGTAACAAATTAAAAGAATTTCAAATGCATGGCGATCATTCATTTTTTCAGTTTTCGTTTTTTCATTTTTCTCTCAAATGTACTTTTAACTTAATTTCTGGTCAGTCCAACCAGACCTGTTGAGTTGTCAAGTTCTGCTTGGAACAGCTGCTTAGTAAGTAAAAGGCATAGTACAAACTTAGAAATAGGTCCCACTCAAACATGACCCCCAATCAGTCACCCCAGTCGACACGTGAGCCCCCTTACTGACTAGTAACAGATGATCTCCTCCAGGTGAAAATTTCATCGGAAACTAGCGTATTTTATTTCTCTCTTTTTTTTTTTTTTTTTTTTTTTTTTTTTTTTTAAAAACATTTTTAATTTTTTTTTTTTTTTTTTTTTTTTTTTTTTTGTTAAACGACATTTGAAGAGATAAGGTACTAACTACTAAAGCAGATCAATTTATGCCAACGTTTTATTTTTTTTTATTTTTTGAATTTTTAATTTAAATTTAGATGTTATTATTTTTTAATAAAAAAATAATATATGATTATTTTTGAGAATTTTTTACTGTAATAAAATTTAAATTAATAAAAAAAATGAGATTATAAAATTTTTTTTATTATTTTATTTCTATACACTAAATTTGTATTTTATTTCTCTTTCTTTTTCTTTTTTTTAAAAAAATTTTCAGCTTGTGACATTTGAAGAGATAAGGTACTAACTATTAAAGCAGATCAATTTATGTGAACGTTTTATTTTTTTTTTTCCATTGTTGAAAAATTCTCCGGTGAGTAGCGTTATGTAATCCTAAACTATAAGATTATATAAGGTCCTTTAATTCGTTAATTAAAATTTTTAATTCGAGTGAAGATGTTATTATTTTTTAATAAAAAAATAACATGTGATTGTTTTTTAAAATTTTTTACTGTAATAAAACTTAAATTTTAAACTCAAATCGATAAAATGAACGGGATTATAAAATTTTTTTTATTATTTTATTTCTGTACACTAAATTCGTATTTTATTTCTCTTTTTTTTTTTTTAATTTTCAGCTTGTGACATTTGAAGAGCTAAGGTACTAACTACTAAAGCAGATCAATTTATGTGAACGTTTTATTATTATTTTTTCCCTTTGTTGGAGAGTTCTCCCATGAGTAGGAGCGTTATGTAATCCTAAACTATAAGATTACATAAAAATTATATGAGAATAAAAACAGGTATTTATGAATCTCATGGAAATTAACTAGCATGTAAAATTTTGTTTTTTTGTTTTTTTTTTACTTTTATTTTGTTTATTAGTTAGTCAGCTAGTTATAATAAATCCGAAAAAGGACAAGAGCACGTACTATAGTAGATGTAGTTATTTAATGTGAAATAATTATTCATACTGAAATAATTTAATATAATTTATTAATTAGCTTCCCATTTAAACAATAATAAATAAATAAAAATGATTACCTTGGTGGGGCATTTTTCGCCACGTTCCTTGGCAATAGTCTGGACCTGAAGCAAGAACTGTCGGCACTGCTCATAGAGATGGAAGAGGTAATCCAGACCGTTCTTTTTGCCACGTGCCACCTCCCCAGGCTCCGTCACGATGAAAGGGTGCTCCCTCTGCCGTTCGCAGCTACTCATCCTTCCTAACTGCTTTCCCTTGTAACTATTATTGCTGTTGTTTACGACGTCGTTTTCCTCCTCGTCCTCGTCTTGATCTTCCGCAGCGGCGTCGTTTTCCTCGAGCATCATCATGCCGCTGCTGTCGTTTGGGTCCAACATCAACATTCTCCTCATGTGGGCCACGCCCTTCGAGCTCCGCCGCTGCTGCTTCTTCTTTCTCTCTCCTCCTCCTCCTCCGCCGCTCCCCACCATCTCTCTCTCTTGTTGCACTGGCTCCTCCGACAGCCCTGTAATATATACACACACACACACATATATATAGACACGCATATGTATTCAACATCATACGAAATTTCTTTTTAACAAAATTAACAGTAAGCAAATGAAACAGTGATAAACAAAAACATGCATATGTTAGTTGGCGTGGCAGGTTTTCATGAGACAGGAAATGGTTTTTCTTTGACACCAAAACTATCATGCATATATATGTTCGTTGAATGCATTGAACAAAACAAAACAAAACAAAATACAAGCTGCTAAAAGGTACAATGTTGCCTGTATCAGTTGATTATTGAATGCTCTTAAAAGCGCAAGAAATGTTGCCCTTTTTAATTTTTCATTTTTCACATCAAAGCTATGTAGCCTTAAAAGCACACACACAAGTCTTTGGCCTTTTGGATAGGCATCCTACATGTATAGCTAGGGACATCAAAGAAGTACCAAAAGATCAAAGCTATAGGGTTTACAAATCCATGACAAGAAAATACAAGAAAGAGAAAGTACATAAAGGGCTCGGTTTTTAATTTTGGATTCCTAAGAGTACGCAGGATATGCTTGCTTTGCAAAAGAAATCAATAGCGACAACAAATGACAAATCGGTGAAAAGAAAATTCAAAAAAAAAATCAAGAGGAAGTACCTAGCTACTAGAAAATAAAAAAAAAATAGCCTATACATGCATATTGTAGGCTTTCTTTGCTAGAAAATCAATGTAAGAAGAAAAAACCAGAAAAAAAATAAGCTATATATCTAGCCATGAAATAGCATTAACGTCCAAAAAATCATCAGAAGTGACAAATCCAAATCCATAAAATTTAGAAAATGCAAGAAATTAGAGGGAAGTACGCACTAGAAAATAAAAATAGCCTATACATACAACGCATAGGGTTGAATTATTTTTTGTGTACAAATAAAAGTACACATAGGCTTTCTTTGTTTAAAAAAACAAAAAAAAACAAAAAAAAACAAACAAACAAGCAATAGCTAGCATGAAACAGTGACAAATCTAGAAAATTGAGATTTTTTTTTTGTTTTTTGCTGTTACCTTCCTGTGAGTGAGCATCAATAACGTTAGTGGGGGTGTCGGCGGCCGCGATACGGCGGTCGCCGTCGTAGTAAAGTAGGTCAACTTCTAGACGACGGCGCTCAGCCCTAACGGCGGCCTTGACCCCGTACCTCTCTCCAACAAGTAGGTCCCACCTGAAAATATGGGAAAGGCTGCTCATCATGTCGTCGAGCTCCTCGTCCCTCATGTTGACGAGCGTGCTCGCCGTGAAACCTAACTCCGCAATCTTCGCCGCCGTGTAGTACCTTATTCCGTACGCCTGGAAAAGCTCCTCCAGCCCCCCCAGCTGCTCCCCCCAGTACCCTCCTCCTCCTCTACTCCCCGCCTCCGCCGCAGCCGCCGGGCCCACCGCCGGAGCCACCATTGGTCCACGTGGGTCCCACTTGAACAGGCTCGCCGGGAAGGCGTCAGGATCCATAGTAGTAATACGACGTCGGATTTCGATGACTTTTTTATTTTTGGTGCTTCTCGCTCTCCTCTACTTACTACAGTGATACTACTATTCTGCACTCTTTGGTTTGTGGGTTCGTAATTTATATTTAATTACAGGCATTTTTTGTCTTTCCGAGACTGCCCTTGTTGGATTTTTGCTCTTTTTTTTCTTTTTGCTCATTTTTCCCGAGGAATAATAGAAGAAAACTTGTTTCCAGTCTTTTATGAACTTCTGAGGCTGATCATGTTGTGTTTGACAGTCGAAGGCCAAACAAAAAAGAAAAATCACAATCTCAGAGCAAATTTGTCAGATTGATATTTTTCGATTTGTTTTTCCGATTATTTTTGCTCATTATTTTTCCCGAGGAAAGAGAGAAGACTTGTTATGATCAGTTATGACCTTTCTGGATGTGGTGTTGATCATGTTGTATTTGACGGTCGGGGTCTTAATTTAACCGAAAAAAAAAAAAACAAAACAGAATCAGAACCACGTTGTCATTATTCATTGTGGTGGGTCCCTTTTCTTTCAAACCACTTACCACGTCAGCTTTAACAACATGATTAATTAAAAAAA